TTTGAAATCCACTTCTATTGATACCCATCTTCAAAGAATTCTTTTGAGTTATTCAATAACTTCAATTTAACTTTTGAAACAGGAGGCAAACCGCTTCAAACAGCTCAAAAATATTCAAACTAAAGATTTCCTAAAACTTTCGTTTAACACGCATGTTTTATAATTATTGTAACTTGTGTATATTTTAATTAAATTCGATTTTTGCAACAGGTGGCAATCTAATCTAATTATTTTCAAATTAGCCCTCTTTCGTCTGACGCTCATATTGTGATACATATGTATTTCCATTACCTAATTGCCTTTGCTTACGCAGAAAAGCAAATTTAGCGCATTTAGCTCTAAATGCTACTCTAAATGTACATTTATCCATACAAAATTCGTCACCTAAATGCAACTCTATTTCTGCATTAAGAGACCAAATGCTAGAAGCGACCCTGTGATCTTCAAAAATGTCCACGATTCGAACATGGTTTAATGAGAAAAGTGGCCACATTGCTTTTCCGCGTATACAGTTGCTAGCTGCGTTTCAGCGATCGCCGATCGAGATTTCCTTTATTATTTTACATTATTTGGAAACAAAAAGGTTGCGCAAATTCAACATCGATGTGATACTGATAGAAATCTGGCTCAATTTGTGATCAACTCTGTTTGTTTTTTCCCCATTTAATTGAGGAAATTTCAACTGACAGCACTGACAAATGAATAATACACAAATAAATTTTCGGTTATGGTTAAAGACAATTGAAGTTTTTGTATTGAATTTTTTGTTTAAAATTTCTTTTTCCCTTTTCAGTAGGGTTTTTTGCAGATTATCTTCTCGGTGCGAATTGATCGTGATAGATACGGATCTGAGTAAGCGGCTGGAACAGGGCTGTTTGTCAGAAGCATACGATTTCGAACTCGCGTAAATGTACATTTGGTAAATGCGATAGCATGAACGCTCTTCGAAAATATATGTTCGAAAGTGCTAAATGTTACATTTTAAATGCAGCAAAAACGCTGCATAAAGCACTTTCAAAGCCATTTCGATTGATACCCACATTGTAATAATTGATTTAACTTTTTTGAGTATTTGGATTTAACTTCTTAAAAGTGGCAACTCGTTTCGAAACAGTAAAATCATACTACTCATCCAGAGCTCAAGCCGTTTCATTTGGCATCTCATTTTGGAAAATTGAATGAACAGTGCGGATCTTTTAAAAAAAAGTAAGAACCTATTGCACACCTATGTACATCCCAAGCCCTTCAACTTGACACCTGATTTTTGAAAATCGAACGAACGGTGCAGATTGATGATCTAGACAAGAAATCCCATCACGTATTATGTATGTATATACATATTAGGGATTCACAACAGTGTAGTAAATGTCGTATTGTTGTACGTCGCAAATTTTAAAAGCTTAAATAAATGTTTAGAGAACTTGAACCCACAACCAACTATTTTTTAACCCTGCGTAAATGCAGAATATGACTTTGATAGTACTTTGCGAACCCAGTTAGTATAGTTTTAGGCGTTTAAAGTTTACGACATAAAAAAATACGACACTTACGATACCGTTCTGAATTCCCCCATTTATAAGGGACAATAGGACACTTACTCGAAGAGTTAACAGTTAAAAAAATCGCTTGCAAAATTTTGCTACAGGTTTCGATTTGCTCAATATTTCCTAATTTACGCCCACATATGTGTGTACATTTTCAGTAGCTCTTTCCCCTAATGCGTTAAACCCCCTTACACATAATCCCATGATTTTGTTTATTGTAGGGCTTGATAGTAGTTACACAATAGGTGCAATCCTGTATTCCTCGGAGTCGGACTAGTAAAACTGTCAAAAAATAAAAATTGAGAGTAACATTGAAAAGTACGGGATCGCTTTCTAGTAAAAAATTGTAACTTCTGTCAACTTCAACATAACCTCCTTTGGTTGTAAATTTTTGCTTATTTTGTATGCTCACACATGTAAATAACTAAAAATACTTTCAAATTCATAAGAATCCACTTAAACAAGTCATTAAATACTTTTCAACATGAATTAGCAGAGTGCACTTTTCTTTTGTTTACAATTTGGTTGCCAAACACACTACAGCTGATCGTTTGACAATTTACCAGAATTTACCAGCAAAAAATTCTCGGACTAAAACTGGTAACTCCTGACAGAGAGAGAACCGTATTTACTCTCTTTTTTGTCATCTCAATAGTCAGAGAACCGAGTACGGGATCGATTTCCAGTAAAATCTGACTGATTCTGACTAGTCCGGACTCGTACGGGATCGCAACTAATATCTTCTAGGAAAAAAATGTTCGCTTATTTTTAACTACATCAAAATATCAAGATTATGTTTTAAGGGTCAGTACACGGATGTGGCTAAAACTTAGTTTAAACGCTCGAGTTGGCTGGTTTAAACTAAGATTAGCCAATGAAATGTCAGCCAGCTGTTCAAGATAAACACAGTTTACGCAATCTATGTTTAAACTGGCACTGAAAAACTGGCCCAGAATTTGTGACAAAAAATGTGATGAGGTGAAGTATTTGAAATGGATACTGCCATTTGGGCATTACTCGGTTGAGGCCCTAAAATATCTTCCCACCTTCTAGTGTGCTCATGCAGGTCTGTACGCAACGATAGGCTGGAGAACAATAAACATGATCGATGCATACATTGGATTCAAGTAACGCTTCTCCAGTCAATTTTGCTTGATAGAGACCGATATTCGTAAGTGGCGAGTCGTTTTGCCAGCCATCAGGACATCTTTGCCTAAAAAAGATATGTAAATTAAAAACATTTAAGGAATAAAATCAAGACGCAAGACACCAAAGATGAGCTCGGGTATATA